CCATTAATCAGTCCCTCTCCTCAGGATCAGTCCCACTCCCACTCAAAACTACCTTCATCACCCCAATCCTTAAAAAACCTACCCTCGACCCCTCCAAACACAGGCACTACCACCCTATCTCAAACCTGCCCTTCCTGGAAAAGCTTTGGAATCATTCTTGCTAACCAACTTCGCGGTCACCATCTTGGGCCCCTTCTCTTCCTCAACTATATGCTCCCTCTCGATGATATCATCTGCAATCACGGGGTCAGCTTCCACTTGTATGCCGATGATACTCAACTCTACTCCTCCAGTTATGACCCCCACCTCCTCCAGTCATCTGATTTTCTGCTGGCTTATCTGTTAGACATCAAGGCCTGAATGAGCCCAAATTTCTTGCAGATAAATGTCAACAAGATGGAGGCCATACTTGGCTCCCATCGATATCTTCTGTCCTGCCGTTCTGACCTCCTCAATCTACCTAATCTATCCTTAAAACTCTCTGAACCAGTGCCCAACTTAGGAGTCAGGTTCGATCCCCAGTTATCCTTCCATCCCCCACATCAGGTCCCTGACCAGCACCGCTTTTCTCCACCCGCACCACATTGCCCGTCTCCGATAATACCTCAAAACTCTGCCGCCCGCATTCTCACCTACACCAAACTTTGCACCCCGATTACTCCAGTCCTTGACAAACTCCACTGGCTCCCTGTCACAGAGCAGATCCATTTCAAAATCCTCACTCGAGTGTTTAAATACCTCCATTCCTTGGCATACCCCCATCTCTCTAACCTCCTCTCTCCCCACAGCAGTACCCACTGCCTCCGCTCTACTGGCTCCGGCCTCCATTTTGTCCCTTGAATCCTCTGCTCCACCATCAGCAGACATGCCTTCAACTAGTATTCCCCAAAGCTATGGAACTCCTTCAATCTCTTCATCTTGCCCCCCCTCTTTCCCCATTTTTAGGTTGCACCTGAAGATCTTTCTTCTCAACCCTGCCTATGGTCATCTTTCCCCTCCCCTTGGCTCGGCATCGGGCTCCACCATTGTTAAGCACCCAAGGAAGCCGCCCGGTGTGGAGGGCGCTCTATAAATGCAAATTGTCGCTGTTGTTTTCCTGATGTGAAAGATGCTATATCATATGCACAGTTTGTTTTATCTCACTATCTGTTGTATACATGAGAGAGAAGGCCACGAGGGGGATATGGGGGTAGGGTAGTATTTGGATGGAGGCTTATGTGAAGTTTAAACATCATCATGGTCTAGTTGGGCTGAATGGTCTGTTTCCGTGCGTAACTTTCTTTATAATCAATTGGCAGTAGAGTTCAATTCTAAATAACATTCACAGGCTGCAGCCCCTCTGGCCTGCTACACGTCCCCCACCCAGGTCCCCCACAATTGGCGGTCGGGCCTTCAGCCTCTTTGTCCCACCCTTTGGAACTCCATCCCACATTCCCTTCACTTCTCCCCCTCCCTTGTCTCCTTCAAGGGACATCTCATGAGCCTCCTCTTCGACCGTGCCTTTGGTCACCCTTCTACTCCTCCCCCTACCTTCTCTGCCCTCCACTTCTCCTGATCCCAACCCCTTGCTCATGTCAAAAATCCCTGACTGTCCAGCACCTTGGGACATCATCTTGATGTGAAGGGCGCTACACAAAGGCTGCAGAAATACAACACAATACGATTAACATTTACACTGAGCTTTCATGTCAGGAGGAAGTTTCAAAATGCTTCACACTGCAGGTTGGGGCGTCCAAGCTGGAGTTTGCGAGCCATGCGGAGAAGGGGAAGGGAAAGATGACTGAAAATGAGATCAAATCGGTACCATTTTGAGAAGTGCAATGAAAGAGGGGAGGGAAGGAGAAAAGAAGGGAGGGAGAAAGGGAGGGAGAGAGAGAAGGAGAGAGAGGGAGAGGGAGGGATAGAGAGAGGGAGAGCGCAAGGGGGATGGAGTCAAAGGGAGGGCGGGATTGAGTTACAGAAAGGCAGGGCGGAATGGCTAATAGTGGAACAGGGACCTGAAGCAGGTCAGTGTCGGTTGAGTGATGTGAGTGTCTGGGTCAATGTGGGTAATAATAACAGTTAAACGTGAGTCATTTCATTGCTACTTTACCAACCAAGAGAAACACAGAGGAACTGAGAGAGACACTGAGATGCCTTGTTCCTAGGAACACAAGAGCAGCAGCACCCAGGCTGTCCTGAATCTTGTTCCTCATCAGCAGAAATAGAAAATGGGTGTTTGTGCTGTCAGATCGTTCCACCACCATCGGCCGTGCCTTCAACCACTACTCCCCTAACCACTGGAACCTCCTGCCTCAATTCCCTTGCTTTGCCCCGTCTTTATCTATCTTTAAATTCCACCTTAAGACCTTGCCTGTTGTCACCTTCTCCTACTCTCTTGCTTGGTGTCTAACCCTGCCACTGTGCAGCGCTCTGTTATGCTATCCTGCTTTAAGGGAGCAATGTATTCTTGTGGTTGTTGTCAGAACTCCCAAATTCCATCTAGTCTTAGCTTTGGGGCTAACCTTACTCCGACCTACCTCAGTGACTTCCTGCAGCCCTATTGTCCTGACCCCTCCCTCCGCTCTGAAAAAACACCAGCGTGCTTCATGTCCCCTGCATGATCTGCCCTTCTTTAGTGGGTGAGCTTTCAGGTATTTTCCGGCTCCATCCTTGAGTCCCATTGCATCACACACACACACATTCACATCCCCTTAAAAGCCCACCAGAAAGATCTTTCTTTATGGAGTCCTGCACTATAGTGCTTACAGCGCTCGTCCAGAGGACCTGGGGTCAATTCCCTTGGGCAAAATGTTAGGCAAGTTTCTTTATTCACACGCCTCTGTTTACCTAGCAGTAAGTAGGAATCTGCTCGTTAGTCGAGTAGCAGATCGCTTTTCCGGGATAATAATCCCTTAAAATAAGTCTCAAATGTTTCACAGGGTATAGTGTAAAGTTGATTTATTTTTTTTGTGAGTGAAAAGCGGCAACCAGTTTGTTCCATTCCACTTCCATTTTTGAATAGTGCCACTGGATCTTTAACATCCCCCTGAACAGACAGACCGGACCTTAGTTTAACACTACCGGCGATGCACCACCCGCTCACCCTCAGCACTGCACTGGAGTGTCACCTTATACTATGTAATTCCAATTCCAGCATAGGGCTTAAACCCACAACCTTCTGATTCAGGCATCCACTCCCGCTAAATGTCGACAAGACAGAATCTCTCCTGCTTGGCTCCTGTCAGCGCCTCCTCACCTCAGGCGCTGATAGCATTATGATATATCACTGTACACAAATGTATATTCCACTTCATTGAGACAGTGAGGAGCCTCAGTGTAGCCTTTGAACCCCACATCCATGCCTTGACCTGTTCAGCCTTCCCCCACTTCCGCAGCATTGCCCACCTTTGAGTCCCTCAACCATGCTCTTGTACCCCACTTTGGTCATTTTCCAAACCCCAACCCCTGCCCTCCACCCCTTCCAAATCCAGCGCCCCCTGGTTGAGTGCAAATCCTTGACTGTCCAATGCCTTGGGACATGCTCCCGATGTGAAAGGTGTAATACAAATTTAATTTATTATCCTTTGGCCATTTTTCCCAAGAAAAGAGACATTTAGAGAGAAGCCCTAATAGGGGTGTTGAAAATTAATAAGGTTAGCATAACTAGGCTGTTTTCACGGGAGTCTGTATGAGGAGAACAAGTATAAGATAGCAACTAGGATCTAAAGAGAATTTAGGAGGAAGTACTTCATGCAGAGTGGAGTGAGATTGTGGAACTCGCTTGCTGAAGCGGTGGCTGAATCAAAGAGTGTAGATACAATCAAGAGGAAACTAGACCTTCGCATGAGGGAGAGAGGAATAGAAAAATGTGGGAGGAATGGGTGGAGTATAAAAACCAGCACGGATAAATTGGGCTGAATGGTCGAACACCTACGTAAATGGACGTAATCTGTGCTTCCGTGCACGTAAGATCTTTTGCCCAGTTATTTCCTGTTACATGTTTAGCATTACTTACCACTTCAAGAGTTAATTTCATAACTACCTCTTGTTTCATTCTATGAAATCCATTATTACACGAAACTAACTGAGTTCTGCATTTGCTCTTTGCTTGTCAGCCTGGTACAGTCAGCACTCTCGAGTTTGAGTCACAGGGACTAGAGCTCATATAATCTAAACTGATGCTCCAATGCAGTGCCAGCTGGGTGATGCATTGTCAGAGGTGCCATCCTGCGGAAAAGATGTTAAAGTCAGGTCTAGTCTGCCTGTCCAGACGGACGTTAAAGATCCCGTGGCGCTATTCAAAAAGAAGGGAGTTTCTCTCTCCTGGTTCCTGGCCGACAATCCCACATATGAAATCAGTAATTTGTGTCATGGCAAATTGGCTGCTGTGTTTGCCTCCAAATGCACAGTCACTGCACTTTACAGTATATCTTGTGAAGCACTTTGAGACGTCCTCCCAACCGATATGGCGCTGTATCAAATGTAAGTAGCAGTAACTCACAATTACACCAACGTAACAATAATAATCCTTGCATTTCATACAGTCCTTATCACATCATCAAGAAAACGCTTGACAGGATGTTACTGTGCGTTGTAGAGATTGTGTGTTACCTAAACACTGCCCTTTTTTTGTTTGCATTGTTGAATTATGCTTTCTCTCTCTCTCGACCCTAAACCCCGACCTCTCCAGAAATGTCTATGAGCTAAATAAAAGCAAAGAAAGAAAAAGCTTCTGCATGTGAACAATGAATCACAAATGAACAGGAGGATATACTTAGCGTATGGAACCTGCCCCTCTCTCTCTCTCTCTCTCTCTCTCGTTCTCGTTCCCTCCCTCCTTCACCCACCACTCCAATGACAAAAATATTAAAAGCGAAAGCGTAGCTGGGACACATGTCACATGCTGGGATCACTATCGCCTGATGGTTCAGAGGAAACTGACGTGTTTTCTTGACGAAACCTATTTCCTGGCAGGTAGTCACTCTGCCGGCTTTAGATCACACCACAATGAGAAAGTCTGGCCTCGCGTCTGGTTGAGCTGTCACTAACTGGTGAGTACAGTCTATCGCCACGCGGGCAATCAAACACTCACGCGCTCAGGATCCCATTCGTTAGCAAACCTCAAAAACAACCTCGCTTACAATGCAACACCGCTCTACAGTCCTTGGGCTTTTACTTGCACGCCTCACCCACCCCTCTCCCCACTCACATTCTCTGTCTCTGTCTCTCTCCTCACATACCTCTTTCTCCCCCTTTCCCCGACACACACCTTTCTCCCCTCCTCCTCACCCCCGTGCACACACGCATTTCTCTCCCCACTCGCCCATACCACTCTCCCACCCCTCCCCGCGTATACCTTTCTTCCCTCCGACCCGCACACATACCCCGCTAACCCCCCCCCCAAAATACCCCTCTCCCCCGCCACCCGCACACGCACACCTTTCTCTCCCGGTTTGCTCACATGCACCGTTCTTTCCCCCCTGTACATATCTCTCTCTATCTCGCCACAGACACTTCTACCCATCTCCTGCACACACATGCACCCCTCTCTTCCCCCCCACCACAGCCACACACCTCTCCTCCCCCATCCCTGTCTCTCTCAACTCCCCTCTTTAAAGTCTCTCAGTAAATAGCGATGGGAACAATTTTATTTCATTTCCACCAACAAGGAAAGCAAATGGAAACTACTGCCAACCCAGGCAGGGAGTCAGAGGGTCTGCTCACTGACTGTACAGACAACAACAAATTGCATTTATATAACGTCCTTTCACCCAGCGCAGAGTCTTGGAGAGACTGTCTAAACTTCGGTCTCCTCACTTTCCCTGCACACTGTCCGAGCTCCAGCTTAAGCTTCAGTTTGGGTCAATGTTAAATGTTGTCTTTTATCGGACAGTTTTAATGTGGGGCCGACACTGGTGTCCGGTGAATAAGACTGACCTGTGTGTGTGTGTGTGTGGGGCTGGGGAGGAATCCTCCAGTCAGGTGGTGTTAGTCATATTAAGGCCGTAAAAAAAAATTGTGCGATTTGTTTGCTGAATAGGTTTGCAAAAGCGTCGGGTCCTCCGTTAGTTAAGGTCTCCAGATTGCCTTCGGGGTCTCGGGGCAGGCTTTGCAGATAAGGCAGGGATAGACCTTAGATAAGTGCTACGTTTGAGAAACTGTGCTTAATCTACTGCATCTTGCATGACTTTCCACCACAGGTACGCACACCCACACACACACACACACACACTCCACGTGAGCAAACCAGATTTTTTAATGCATAGATTGTCCTTTCTGGTTTTTAAAAAAATTCGTCGGTATTATTAATATTAATATTATTAATTAATATTAATATTATTAATAATAATAATAATCCTGGTGTCTCATGCCACTGCCACATCTCAGAGCCACGCGGGGGAGTGCAGTGACCGCGCAATTTTCAGATAGAAACGGCAGTTGGTTTGCGTGGAGCAAGGTGTCGGTTGAGAAGGGGAGGAGGTGAGAAAGAGAAAGAGCCGCTCCCTTCGTCGCTTCCTCCCTCCTTTCCTTCTCTCTCTCAACTCAGACTGACAGCCCACCAGGTCTCACCAAGATTGTTAAGCGTTAAAGTTTAAGATCGTGGGGGGAAGGCAAAGGGCGAACCTTAAACTCGGTCGTGATTTGGAAGAAGGTTGTTATTTAAGAACAGCAGCGAACTTGGGCTACTAAACAATGACTGAACTCAACAGCTTGACAGTTAGGGTGGTCCTAGCTGGACAAGCAGCGGGTAAACTTGCCAGACAGTGATATCAATGGCAAACTGTGTGATCTTATCTGGTTAGTCTCCAGCAGTTACCCCAACGGACACTCTGGGCTCCCCACAAGCCTTGGTTCTTGCCAACCTGCGCCTAAAACTCTCCGGAATTAGGTAAGCAGGATGCATCCCTCCAGGGAAAGAGAGAGAGAGAGCGCATTCCTTTCCAACAATCTTTCTCTGGGATTTCCATGTGTAGGTGGGATACATGGAGATCTCAGCTGCGTTGGATACTCTTAATCACGGTGATGGGTTTCCGCGTGTGTCAGACACCCGGCTAGGCAAAAAAACAAAAGGTCTCGTGGGATAAGACTGGAAGACTGGGATACGCCTCTGGAGCCTGCTGAGAACAGAGGGGGAGTAGGGTGGACTAGGGGAAAGGAGAGGGAAAGGGAGAAGGGGAGGCGGAAACTAGTGAGAGGAAATGGCTATGTGGTGAGCTGTGGCCACAGATACCACGTCCTACTGAGCCATGTGCAGTGAGTGAGCTTGAGCTCCAGCCCTTGAACTCTCACTCTTTAGCAGTCTGTCCATGTGTACAGGCACAGACAATTTAATACAGAGCTCCCTTCAATCTCCTCTCTCCCCACTCCACCACCTACTGTCTCCGCCTGGCTGGACCAAGCCTCCTGCTTGTTCCTCGTCCCCTCCGCTCCACCATTGCAGGCCATGATTTCAGTCACTATGTTCCAAAACCTTCGAAATCTCTCCCTCAATCCCTCCGCCTTGCCCCCCTTTCTCCATTTTCAGTTCACGCCTGAAGACCTTCCTTTTCGACCGTGCTTAAGGTCACCTCCTCCTTTCCGCACCCGCCTCAGTGTCTTATTTCTTCAATGCTCCGAGACGCTACCCTGGGTGAAGGCCGCTGTGTAAATGGAGGAGGCCATTCAGCCCCTTGAGCCTGTTCCCCCATTCTATAAGATCACGGCTGATCTGTACCTCCACTCCAATTACCCCCTTTGCCCCATATCCCCTGATCCCCTGACCTGACAAACATCTCTCCCCCTCAGTCTGGACAATGTGAATGGATCCACACAGAATCCACAGCCTTTTGGGGGAGAGAGTTCCAGATCCCCACCGGCCTTTGGATGAAAACCTGCCCCTGATTTCACTCCTAAATGGCGCGGCTCTAATTTTAAGATGATCCTCGTGTTCTGGATTCCCCACCAGAGGAAACAGTTTCTCTGTAGCTGCTCTATCCAATCCCTTTATTATGTTAAACACCTCAATCAGATCAGCCTCAACCTTCTCAACTCAAGGGAATACAACAACAACAATAAATTACATGTACACAGCACCCACTCACGTTGAGACTTCCCAAAGTGCTGGACAGTCAGGGATTTGCACCCAAGCTGGGGATTGGGATCAGGAGGGATGGAGGACAGGGAGGGTGGGGGTAGGAGGGTGACCGAAGGCACAGTCAAAGAGGAAGATCTTGAGATGGGACTTGAAGGAGGGGGATGAGGCGAAGGGACTGTGGGATGGAGTTCCAAAGGGAGAGGACAGAGAGGCTGAAGACCCGACCGTCGATGGTGGGGTGGACTGGGAGGGAGATATGGAACAGGCCAGAGTCCGCCGAGCAGAAGGAGTGGACAGGTTGATATGGGGGTCAGCAGGTCACAGAGGTAGGGAGGAGCAAGGCTGTGGTGGACTCTTAAAGCAAAGATGAGGATTTTGAACTCAATCCTCTGGGGGATGGGGGTGCCAGTGGAGCCGGGCGAGGGGTGGGGATGATGGGACCATGGAGCCTGGTGCGGGAGAGTCTAGACTGTGGATTCAATACTGACTTAACAAAAGTTGTGTGAAGATGTAAACCTCCCCCACACATTGACTGACAGAATCACACATAGTGACGAGAGCCAGAATAGCACGTGTGTTGCTGTCGCTTTTTATTTTCCTGTGTTGTGGTTGCTTCAAGCAAGTCAGGTGTGCCTTGCGGGTGAACACACCCAGGCTGTGGTGTCTGCATTTTATGCTGATGCTTGGCACGCGATTGAAGGGAGTGAGTGGGACGGTGGGGGGTCGTGTGTGCTCGTACCTCAGATGACATCGGGGGAGGGCGGAGGGGCGATGACGGCAGCACACAGCTGTGACCCCATTCTTACCTCGTCGCTGAAAAGTGCTTCACAGGATTTAATTGTAAAGTGCTCAATTGTGTGTTTGATAGGCCAACCCGGCAGCCAATTGCACACAGCAACCTCACACAAACGACATCAAATTACATTTGTATCGTGCCTTTCACGTCAGGAGGACATCCCAAGGTGCTGGGCAGTCAGGGATCTTTATCAAACAGTCATGAAATAAGGAAATGATCAATTTTTATCTGGGGGATTGTCAGACAGAATGCCGGGAGAGAAAAACTCCCTTTTCGAGCAGAGCTGATGATGTCCACCCGAACAGGCACAAACGGGAACTCCGTTTAAAGCCTCATCTGAAAGACAGCACCCCTAAAATGCTGTGCTTCCCCCCAGTGCTGTATTCGAGCGTCAGTCTGGACTATATGAGTCCTGACTTGTGGCATAAACCCACAACCTTCCGACTCAGAAGCAAGTGAGCTACCGATGAAGTCAGACTAACACCTAAAAGTTGACTTAAGACTTACCTATTCAACTGCGCTTTTGAACTCCCTCCACCTTCCTTACTCCCCAATCTATGAAGCGCTGCATTGTTGGACGTGCCCCTCTGCAGATGAAATAATAATACCATTCAAAAGATCTCAGCTTATTCAGACTCTGCCGCCCGCATACTGACCCGGACCAAACTCCGTTCCCCCCATCTCCCCAGCTCTGGCCCAGGCTCCACTGGCTCCCCATCACCAAATGGATCGATTCAAGATCCTCACTCTCGTGCTCAAATCCCTTCACTTCCTGGCACCTCCCTCCCTCTCCGACCTCCTCACTCCCCAATCCACCACCCGGCACCTCCGCTCGGAATTAGGCTCCACCACTGAGACGCTACACAGCGTGAAGGATGCTATATAAGGGCAAGTTGCTGTTGTTGTAATAATAATTCTTGCACTTGATGTAGTGCCTTATCACACCTTTGAGACATCTCAAAGTGCTTATATTGAAATGTTTAAACTGTTCAGGTGGCACTGAGTTTCTCCCTGTATCCTGGCTGAAACCCCTCAGACTATAATAATAATCCTTGCATTTGATATAATACCTTATCAAGTTGAGACGTCTCAAAGAGCTTCACTTAATATACTGTAAAGTGTGTATGTTGTGTGATATGCGGCAGCCAATTACAGACAGCAATGTCCCACAAACAGTCATG